AATTATATATATATTTATTATATAATATTTATATATATATTATATTTATATATAATAAAATATAAATAATTAATATTAAATATATATTATTAATATATATATATTAATAAATAATATATTAATATATAAATATTACCATGATTTCAATAAAAGATGGCAACAAAGCAAGTTTCCCGTGGGTAAGTTTCATCGTGTTCGTTATTCTAAGTATCTTTCTACCAAATTTGATAGCTTCTTGAAATTCACCTCTCAATGCTCTACCATACACATACATATATATACATATATAAAATTATCCTATATAATAAATTGTTGATTTTTGTTTGATTTTAATAGATTTGTTGTTTTTTACCTGATTTCATACATAGCCATAAATATTTTCGTCATAAGCCTTAAATCTTCAGCATAATACCAATAAATTTTTGTTTTAATAACCTCCATCATTAAATATTCGAGACGTTTGATAAAATTAAAGTCACCAGTATGTCTTAAAACTTTGACAGCAGTAAGATAAATTTCAGCCTGTTTGGAAAAATTACCAGAACTTTCGATTCCTAATCTGAGACTTTGTAGGATAAACGATTGTGCAGCTTTTGTTTTCTTTTCTATCTATTTGAATAACAAAATATATATATATGTATATAGACATGTAAATGTGATTTAATTGAATGAATTAATTTATATATACGGTTGAGAATGATCGAATCGAAATAATACGCGTGTCACCATAAGAACTGAAGAAATTCGTTGAAGAAATGATGCCAATTGTAAATTATCGAATGCCGTTGGTCCCTGATAACGATTCATAAAATGATTTAAAAATCTTATTCTTATTCGTAAATATAATTTTTCTTTAAATGTTATATAACAAATAGCCAGTTTTGATCGAGGTATTCTCATTCGTGAAGATATTGCTTTGGTATATGTTATTTTTGCTTGACAATAATTACCTAATGCCATATGAGCATCACCTAAACATTATTTTGTCTTTTTTTAATAATCATACACACACACACACACACAACTATTAGATAACAAATTCAATTTGCATACCCAACAACATAAAAATCATTGATTTATTAATTATCGGATATTTGTTACACGTTTCTTTCTGCTGACATTCCTTTTCAATATTTTTGTTTACTTCTTCTGCCATTTCAAGAATTTTCAATGCAAATAATGGTTCAGCAATGTAAATTAATCCAGCACTATATCCGATTAAAAATTCTAAAATATCTTCGTCCGATCCTAAAATGATTGATCGATTCAAAAAAAAAAAAAAAATACAGTTATAAGTGTATGTATATTTCGTTTCAATCAAATGATTTTAAATATTACCTATTTGTTCGATATATTCACTCAATTTCCAAAATATGTAATTAACTTTGTCATAACAATGACAATTTCTGTAATCGATAGATGTGAATTTTTTTAAAAAAATATATCGAGAAGGATCGGTTATTCTTTGTGGTGTAACCGATGATCTTCGTAAAAATTTTGATCTCGATCTATCGAATAGAAATCCTATTTTACTTGAAACACTAATTACGTCTGATGAAAAATCTGAAACATTTCAAATGAAAGCACTTGACGACAATTGCAAGAAAATTATTAATCAATGAATTTCATTTACAAAAGATGAATATAAATTCGACCAAGTATTAATTTTCAATTTTGATTTGTAAAAAAAAATAAAATGTGACCTTCTACTGGTTGTTCGTCTTCTTGATCATTATCAAAGAATGGCATGATTGGTATTCTTTGTGTACGTAAAATGTCAGTTCTGATAGGTTGTTGAATATTAGTTTTAAGAATACTTTGTGTTGGTTCTCTCCTAACTAACGACATAGTTGATGGTATCTGCAATAATTATACGTCAAACTTAGCAAAAAATAGGGGGAAAAAAAATTAAATGAATTTTGCAATAGATTATTGCAATAGATTCTTTGATTATTGAAAGAAATCTTCTTGAGTAAAAATACAAACGCATGAGATAAAGGAAAAATAATGTTAAGTATATTATTCTATCATTTTACCTCAACCGACAATTTTCTAGAAAATATTCTGAAAAAGGAGCCGCCACCGCATTCTGAACATTTTTGAGTTTCTCTTTCGTAAATCTGACAAGCTCTCTGCCAATACTCGTCTTTTTTATCTTGTTGCAGCATATCGTATAACATTTTATGAAACGAAAGGATTTTAAATTCCAACATTTTGCAATTAGAATAAGCGGGTAATGTTGGTATCGAGAAATCATCTTGAAAGATTTAAAAAGATTTCATTATTTTATTTTTTTTTATACTATTAACATAAAACACGGTTTAATGGTATACAACTTACGAGATAATGGACAATCGCATTGTATTAAATGATGCATGTTGGAAAATGTTTGTCTTCTTATAAATAAACCGTATAAATGATCATCGGTATAAAATAAAGTTCTTTGTATGGATGCACATTCTATTATTCGTATTCGAATTAATTCAGATACGGCTAAAATTAAATGTTAATAATTCTTCTTTTTTATTATTATTATTATAATAAAGTAAATAATTTCAATAATAATAATAATAATAATAATAATAATTGGAACAATTTACTTGCTTTTTGCTGTATATACTGCAGTTGAATTTAACATAACAGTTTGAACGATAGTTCGTACGAATAATCGACCTAAAGATGCAGCACATTTGATAAATTCTTGTTGATACGAGTTCATCCTTTCATAAAGTTTTTTTTTCAAACCTTAAAATAATTTCATTTTATTACACACATATTATCAGTTAACATTCAGGTATTGTATAATAGTTACCAATGTAACTTAAATTGGCATCAAGAAAACCGATATATAATTCGTTAGTTATACAAACATGAAAAGTATTTAATTCGGATGAAGGTATCACGTCTTCTGGTAACAAATTAGATGGCACTTTTGTGATCATAGATGATTCAGGAAAAACGAGATTATATTTTTTCAATTCAGTTGCGGTCATAGTTAAAAAATCAAGTCCGTTACTTTGCAATGTCAAACTCAAATATAATTCACACCAGCCTATATTGTTTTGACTATATTTTTTTAAAATTCTGTTTAAAAATATATATATGAAATCATTGAGTTAGATACCTCACGCTGTATATTTATAATAATATTATTATCTGAAAACATTATAACGAAAACTTACACGTCCAAACTTTTAGGTATTGCTACGACATTGAGAAATTGACATGCAAATGCAGTTAAAAATTGATTATCTAATCCTTGCAAAGTCCTTTTTATTAATCTTTTATCTTCAAAAATGATATCCTCAATATCAAATTTTGCAATATTTAAAGATGGATTTAAAGTAGTAATTACTATTACTACGTTAACATTGTTTAATGCTAATGATATAAATTGCCATGACATCAAATCGGTATAATGAAAGTCATCCAAAAATATACACATTTTTCCACTCTGTCGTAGAAAAATTGTTCAATTAATAAAAAAAATAATAATTTCGTTAAAGACAAAACAAAAATGTAACCATCTTATATTACAAGCGTAAACAACACACTTGATTTAAAATAATGTTGAATATTTGCGTCATTTTGATATAACGTTGCCAACTGTTAGAAGCACAATATTCATTTGAAAGAGGGAATGAAACTTTCATTAATGTATTCAGATAACAAAATTCTGTAGAAAATAGAAACGAACCTAATTTCTTTTTCAATACTCTTTCACGATCTTTAATGGATTTGCAATCTTCTGCTTCGAGTATCTAAAATAATTTCATTAATATTTTCATCTTGTTTAAATAACATAATTCATAAAATACTTACCAATAAAAGAATATGATAAATAACCGTGTATTCTTTTTCCGAATAAGAATAATGCAAAGGAAGTTGAATTACATTTATTTGTCTATTTTTAGCAATGGTGACGTATGCATCGAGTAATCTTGATTTACCAGATCTTTCATTACCCTATAATTAAATAAATTCAAATTTAAACTTAAACATTTCTAATGATTCTTATTATTTCAAATTTCAAACCATTATTAACAATCCAGAATTATTTCTATCCATAACTCCGATATTGTCTAAAATATCATTGAAAGTTTCTAGTTCTTGAAAACGACCCAAAATTGGATAACGATAATTAATGTTAGATGTGTTAATCGGTGTTGGTTGTATACTAGAAAAATGAACAATGTATAAAATAATAAAAATTGATAATTATAATTTAAAGTAATCACTTACGAAGGTATTCCAAGAAATTCGTAAACGTGACATTTGCCGCTTATTTTTAAATTCTGTACACCACGTGATCTGAATGCATTTCTGCATAAATTACTGTGCATTACCGTATCGTAATCGCAACATACCTTTAATTAATATTACGTTTCATTAAATTTATTTATCAAAAGCAGATATTGAAAAGAAGAGGAATATTGATAGAATAAAATTGGTTTTTTTTTTTTTAAATCAAATTAATATGTCAAGTTTTAATATTGTTTCAATATGAACTCTCAATCGTTGAATATTCAGGAAAAATACGAAATAATAAATAATATAATAATAACTTTATCATATGAAATTTCCATGATACTCTTAGCATTGTTCACTGGAATACCGGTGATCATATAATCTTTTCTTGAATTATGTCCAACAACTCCACAATAAGCCACACCTTGGTATAAACATAAAGATTAAATAATAAAAAAAAAGAAATGAAGTATCTCAATCATACCTGTAGATACGCCAATTGATGTACCACGTATAAAACATTGAATTTTAAGCGCTTGTAATATTTTATACGCACACACTATTGCATTTTTCGTTATTTCTTCATTATTATCATCTACATTTTCGTTAGATTCTTCTAATCCAAAAACGATCGAAAATGAGATATCATTGTCATATAAATTCATTGAATAAATACATCCCGAATTAGGTTTGATTATACTGTCAAATTAGTTTACCCCATTAAATTGAAAATATTTCATGAAACACAAGAAATAAAAATTGAAATAAAATTACCCATGTAGAAGTAAATAACATTCATCTACCAAATAAATAAGTTCGAAATCTGAACAATCAGTTGATTTAATATCTATGGAAACCATAGTTATTCGTCTTGTTTCCATTAAATGTTCCAACGGTAGGTCATGTGTGATCTATATTGCAATTAGAACAAGGAATATATAAAACTTGTTTTTTAACTTTGTTCTAATTCGCATAGATATTATACTTGTTCAGCAACTGCATGTATTAGATAAATTTTTAATTGAATAGCCATATTACGTTTCATTTCTTCTACCATTAATTTTCGTGCTAAAAAAATTAATTAATTATCAGATCGACATTTTTGTGAATAATTTATTTTGTTTTGTTTTGTTTTGTTTTATAAACAAATTCGTAATAATTCAACCTGAAAATATTTTGTCATCTGTATTTTCATCGGAAGTACTACTACTTTCTTCTTCTCTCGTAATAATAATTTTTTTTTGTAATAGTTCAGTTAATCTTCGCATAATTTTACGATTCCATCGTTTGGATACACTCGATATTAAAGGTCTGATAGAAGTTGAAGTTCTTACTAATCTTCTGTCATCTTGTATTACTTTAATTATCTGAGCCAAGATTTCAAGATAAACGATCATCTTAAACTAAGGAAATATTTTATAAATCTTATAACAAACTTTTATATTATACTCATCCTTGATCACATATTTATATTGACTAGGTGTACAATGTTCCCAAGCGTTCATAGATAAAACTAAATCACCTGGTAGACAAACTTTTTTTGCTTTTCTTAAATCTAAAATTGGTTGACCAGTGATAATATAATGTCTAGATAATTCATTTCCTATGATACCAAATATCACGTTTCCAGCCGAAATGAGTGCATTGACTGTTTCAAAAAAAATATATATATATGAACAATTTTGAATATTTCATGAAAACTTGATGAAATATTCAATTAATTTACTTTTAGACATAATTTTCTCTGTTCTATCGATGTTAGCTAATAATTTTTGTAAACGTAAAGCACAACTTATTACTTTTGGTATAACGTTTATCATTAATTCATCTTGATAAATTCTCCATAAAGATAATATTGCGTTTTCTGATTAGTTTGAAATGATTATTTTGTTGTTTAGAAAATAATTATTGATTATGTATACAATTATGATATACATACGAGAAAATTTCAGAATGTCACCCCCTGTCGAATATATTTCTTCGACTATAACATTTAAATATTTATTTAACAACATGGTATATGCATACATTCCACCATTTTCAGCATTTGTATATTTATTGTAAAGTATTGAAAAACCTGATAAGGACAAAGACAAGAACAAAATAATAATAACAATATGAATATTAATTATTTATATGTATAATTATAAAATGTTGACATTAACCTGAAATATCTAGAAAAAGTAAAATCGCATTAAATTTATTCGTAATTTTTTTAGTAAGATCCTTGGCTAAGATAATTTCGTTTGGTACAAAAGTCGCCATTAGGCGTGTGCATTTAGTGGCTTGTTGATTATTTAAAGCCTGATTATAAATAACATTTTCAAATTATATTTCATTTCTTTATATCATAGAAATTAACCTACAAACCTAATAAAATATATTAATTAATAAAATATATTAACTAACTTCTCTAAGAGAACCATGACCATGATTTGCCTTATCAACCTCCAATTCTGAAGTCCATATACTTGTTAAATAATTACGTGAAGATTCATATTTCTTCATTTTTATACTAAATTGTTCTTTTTTTTTTATTATCCACGTATACGAGAATACAAATAAATTATAATAAATAATGAAACTTCACGTTGTTTAAATAAATCATATGTTTTGTTTTTTTATAGTAACCTATTTTATCAGTTTACGATAAAACAATGATCAAATTATTTTCTGTAATATCGACAATGATGAAAAACATGATCGCTAGATGGCGATTCGTTTGAGTACATTGATAATTTAAATAAATAATGATTTCTTGTTTTAAAATGCAAAATCATCGAGGAAAAGTATTACTAATGGAATTATAATTTGTATAAGAGAACACCTTTCACTTTTTACCTATTTTAACGAGTTCTTGCTTCATGGATATTAAACTCGTTTAAGTATTCTAATGAATCGATTAGAATAATATTTAAAAGTTAATTTTGCATTGAAAGTATAATATGGCTGCAAACAAATTCTTGAAGATCTAACGAAGCAAAATAAATATGTCGATAATTATGACAATAGATAAAATAAAAAAAATAAAAAACAATTCAACGAATCGATTTTTATGATTTTTTTTTTATATATTACAATTATTTTTATATTATATATATAATGAATCATAAAAAGAATTTCTTTTCATTTTTCTGATTAGACTCCATTGTCATAATATTATTCACACTTTGCTACGTAATTTAGATTAAAACTAACGAGATTATTTTTTTTTTAATTTTTTTTTTTCTTATTTTTCTTGATATGAATAAACCGACAATCTTCGCAATAAGTTCTTGTTTCTTTCCCACTTTTAAAACTTTTATATAATCACTTACATAAAGACGACTCAAACGATTTAATAAAGTAGATAAATTAGATAATCATATTACCTGTTTTCCTTAATAAATAAAATTACACATGTGATAATAATATTAATAATCGTGTCAAAATGTTAAATATTATTTATCCAATGTTTACCAAATGAAGCACGCTGTCACGTGTAATTCCACTTTCTTTCAAGGACAAACCTAGTTCTTCTAATCGTTTTGGTGAATATCTAGCGAGACAAGAAAAAAATCAAAAGAAATACAACAACATATTGTGAAAGAGATTTGAATTCGAAAGGTAAATAAAAATAAAGTGATCAAGGTGTTTCAATAGAAATATTATACAGTACCCGCTAACAAGGATTTTGTATCCTTTGTGCCAAGTTATTGGTAAAGCCTCGTTTAACAATTCGTAAAGTCTGGCGACGGAATCGTCTGCTGATAAGTGAACGAGATAAACAGTGCCGCCATTCAATGATCTCACCTTCAAACGAAGTTCCCCGGACTTTCCACTGGGCTCGTTAATCTGATGCAAGATAGGAGGCTGAAAGGTAACGACAATCTCATTAATATTGATTTCATATAAACACGTAAGGACTACACGATCTAATAATCATAAGATGAAATTTGAGATTAGAAAAAAGATCTTACAGCTGATTTCCTAGCATGCGTTGCTGATTTAGAAATTCGTGGATTTCTCGGGGATTCCGATTCGGAAGATTTAACAGACATTTTAGCTTCATCTTCGGATAATGCTTTTGATTTATAAACATTGGATACATTAACACGACGATTCGATATACTTGCCGATCTTGATCGAATTCGTGAACGATTGTTGATCTTTTCTAAACGACTACGAGAAATATTATTATATTTATTATTTGTTCATTTAATTAATAAGAAGTAATTGAAATTTAGAAAAGGATTCAATTACATTGGTGATAATTTGGAAGTAGATCTATCGATGTAAGAACGTTGATTATTTCGTCTATTACTTGGATATCTTAAAATATTTGTCAATTTTGAGTTCTTTTCTCTTACTGATAGATCGTATTCGGTATTTTTAGTTGCTAGATCTCGCTGTAAAAAAAAAAAAAAAGAAAAAAAAAAGAAACGAAACGAAGGATTTAAATTTGATTATATTATACTGTATATTATAATAATTAGTATATTTTGTACTTTTTCTCTACGACTACTCAAAGCTAATTCGGCATTAATGTGAGATTGGAGATGAGAATCCGAACAGACGTTGTTGTGTGAAGCTAAAATTTGAGATCTCAATGAAACTATATCGATCGATTGAGATTCTGCGGAATGTTTTGATTTCAATGATCTAGAAATAAAATGTTAATTATTATTTATCATTTCAACGGATTAATTAATTATAAACGAAATTAAAAAAAACCTCGCGGTGAAGGAAGGAGCAAATTCAATTTGACAAGGATTTTCTTTTTTCCTTGGACTGCATTGACGAGAAGAAGGACTCGATAAAATTTTCGAATTACGAAGTCGAATCGATGATGATCTATCTTTCGACGATTGTTTTCCTAATCGATAACCATGACCAGGAAAAATATTAACGTCATTTGTATAAACTTCTGATCTATGATTTTCTACCTATGGAAAATTAGATATATAATTTATTTAATAAATATTAAATATAAGTACTTCAAGCAAATACAAAAATAAAATTACCGGTGATACAAAAAGAAAAAAGAAATAAATTACTTTGAAAGGAACACCATTTGGATAAGCTTCCTGTAACTCTGATGGGAAATAACCATCGAGGATATCACGTATGAAGGAAGTTGTTTTTGGATCGTTGTAAAGACGCAGAGGACCACCTTGAACGGTCATTCCGTTCTTGTAAAATTTCAAGGATACGCAAGATTGCGTCTTAAAAAATAAATATTAAAATTAATTTAGCAAAATGAAAAAAAAAAAAACAAATAACTCTCTTACATTCTCCTTTCGATCTATTAATTTCTTTTCAGTAATAAAATTAGATCAAGGTTTTATTTCGTATAATATCGATTAAAATTAAAAAATAAAAGACAAAAAAAAATAGAAGCAAAACCTTAGATCGAAAGTTTTCGAATGACAAATCGATGATTCATTTACCTTGAAACTTGCTCCACTACCTTTTTCATTATGATGTACATAAACCTCTCCTTTTCCTGCGGCTACGTTTAATTGATCGATGTTAGCGATAAGTTGTTCATAATAAGTCTCAATGTAATTACTGGAACTCGTTGATAGTTTCTGATTAATTTGACGGATCATTTGTGTCATAGAAAATTTACTTATCAATGGACTTACTCAATACCGTATTCTGTATTTAATGTTGAAGTGTCGTTATCTCCAATCCAAATCAATCCATAATCGGCTAAGAACTTCTACAAAATCAATCCGATTATTTTTTATAAACATATGTAATATATTTGAACTAAATATATTAATAAATTAACTGAAGCATATCTTGCAAGTGATACAATAAGTAAAGAAAATATAATTATGTTATTTCTAATCGATCAAATTTTCTTAAACCAGATCAGGTATTCCAATATTTTTAAATTTTTTATCTAAAATATACTCGACAGTTTTAACACAAGTGTATTTATAATAAATATCGAACCTCCATTTCAAGGATTTTTTGTTCGAGTAGGAGGCATCGTTTGTAAAGGTACTCCGAATTCTTGATTTGATCTATACGTTGTTGTTCCTTCTTCCTAAAGGTCTCTTGATTCTTGCATTTGATCTCCAAGTCCTTCACCTGAGCCAAATTATGTGACGTCGAACATTATCCCACGGTAAGATGTGTATTTACTCTTAGACGGCTAAAGCACGGCTAAAGAACCTTCCGTTTGAATCTTTCGATTTCTTGATCTTTGTTTTGCAATCGTTCCTCCGCCTTTGAAAGAAGATCTTGCATCTTTTGCATCTGTGACTCAGCCAGGTACAATTGTTTCGTCACCATGCTTATGAATTCGCTTTCTATAAATCATTGAAAATATTATTAACTTTTTTTTTTAGAGTTTCTTCGGTAATATTATATTCATCGTTATTTTTAGACATAATTTATTAGAAATAAATATTAAAGATGGGTTTTTTTTTTAATGATTATTCATACACTACCTTCTTCAATGATGTTATTTACATGTAGTGGAGCATTCGGAGATTTTTCAACATATTTATTACTACTCGTCCATAATCGTCTACCACTACAACACGTTCCTGAATTCTGTGAATATCAGAATTGTTTTGATTATATCACCTTAATTGTAAGTATGTATATTATCAAAAGGAATAATTAATAACTCGTACCGTTTTATGCGTATCTGACCACGAGGTGCCAGGATTACAAACGATTTTTGATTCTTCCAATTTATCAATATTTTCAATATCTAATCTCACATTATCAATATCACTCGAAATGTATGACGAGTTAGATGGTACGCTTTTTAATCTGAAGAAATTGAACGTTAATTGATTTTCTATGTTACGTGTTAAAAGAACACATTTTTTTGTTATGTAAATGATAAAAATTGAAAGATAGTATTCTTTTCTGTACTCTATGTTTATAAAAGAAATAAAAAAAAAAAAAAAAAATATGAAACAAAAATACTTGTGTTTGCTGTTACGCGAAGTAACAGATTGATTTTTCTTTTTTGAATTTTCTGTTGAATCTGCCGGCTGACTCATCCTGCGTAAAATCTCGTTCATCGGTTAATTCGATAATATATTTACGTTAACAATTTTTTTAAGGTTAACCAAAAGTAATATTTGTCGGTGATAATAATTGAAATAAGCTCTAGATGTGTAGAAAATTGAATGGATTCATGAAAATCGATGACAGTCTGCGTTCGATATAAACAATACAAATGCAATTTCATTTTGTTTATTTAGATTTTAAATAATTAATCGAATTTCAAATCTTTTTTGCATATCTCGTGTGACTGAATTACGAAAAATAAAAATATTATATATGTATGTATTGTACAATCTGATCGTATTTGACCCATATAAAATATGACTGTACAAATGTATGAAGCATATAATATATGATTATAAATGTTACACATTAATATAATGAAATTTATTCATTTCATTTATATGCAACATATAAAAATGATTTTTCAACAAATAATAATTTCCATATGGTAAAATTCGTGAAAGTTTATTGACGGGTTATGTATGTGTCAAACGATGTGTTATCGATATTCAACTAAAAATAGCTCCATATGCAATTGGACAATATCCTTAAGAGAGGTTATTTTTGCAAGACAAAAGCTGGATATTTATAGATTAATAAATTTATTCGTTATTATATCTTTATCGCAGATTTTCAACTATATTTTATAATCTTGTATATAGATATTTAAGGTTGAGAATCTTTGGTGTATGTTATGAATTAATTACTGTGTAAAAGAACAGGTACTATAAATGTTAGATACGTTACTGCTTAAACCGTGAGACGTCGCAGTATCTTACGATCGATTATAACGAAATCTCTGCATCGTGTTTCATTATTCGTAACAACATTTCTCAGTAAATTCCGTGTGTTGTCTGATATTGTTTGTGTGCAAAAAGAAACGGTTGTGTATTAGTTAAATGACAGTGAAAAGATAGCAGTATGGTCAAGAGTGGATAAGGAAGAAATCAAATGTCAAAGAATATTCGAGCAGCACACGTGATCAGCTGAATCATCAAATTATTGTTTGCGATATTTCATATGAAAATAAAACAAATGTTAAATTGACCAATACAATATTTGTATTAACACTTTATTTTATTAATTTTTAATTGATTCGTTATTATTTGTAGAAATTTATTTTATCGTGCAAACATGTCGCGTGTATGCAAGGTTAGATCAGTTAAAAAACATTCAAGTGCATATTTAATATTATTACGGACAGCAGTACGATCTTGAAAGTATTTAAAAAAAAAAAAAATTCGAAAAAATTAGAAATATGAATAAATTAGTTTAGCTCGGGGTACCGTTCGTTTGATATACGTTCGTAAGGTGCGATCGCAGCGCCACCACGCAGTGTCGCTCGCGATCGAAGGTGGGAAGGGCAAGCGGAGTAGTGGGGGAACCGGCACGGGAGTCGTGTTCCGCGTGCGAGCGAGTGTACACACGTGTGCCCCCTCCGCTCTCTTCTCGCCACGTACATACCAACCGTGAACGAACGAAACGGACGAAAATGTCGTCGCGGAAGAGCTCGAACATATCGTCCGAACTCTCGGTCCAACGCTGGAACTCTACGAAAGTGAGTGAGTTTCATTTGTTTTCTTATATTATTACGTTCTTTTAATTACCCACTTAAATATATTTTTATCATACTTATATGTATATTCTTTATCATTATGGGATACGTTTAACATCCAGTATCTCTCAGTTTATTTTATATTTACCGGTCAGTCATTACAATACATAGAAATATTAGTGTATATTGAAACTAATCAAAATGTTGTCAGAAAACTTACAAATAGTTCATTTAGATATAGAAATTAGTGTCTATAATGAATACATGGTACGTAATGTTTTCTGTGAACAGTGTAGTGTGTTAATATCTTCGATGACGATATTTAACAAAAGAAACTATTCTTTTTTTATGTACTGCATCCTCTTAACATACTATCGTTAAGTATGATTTTATTTTTAATATGTAGATAATAATACATTTTCTTACTTGAAAAATATACTTACTTAATTCTTAATGAATATTTGCTTGTCAATGATCATTTCGTTGTTTATTTGTTGAGGTAAAAGAGATAAATTGTAATGAACGTTTTTATCGAGATAAAAAATAAAGATTAAAGTTGAAAAGGTCGAATCATTGGTAATCGCCCTTTTCGGTCGTCCATCTTTAATCTTCCTCCATTTGTCGTGTCGCGAATGAATCTTTTGAGAGAAAAGAGAGCAAGTAATTTGTTGATGACAACTCGAGATATTTTGCGATGACGCAATGCAATCTCCTCTCATTCTTTGGCCATTTCGCTTCGTAGAAATTCCTGGCTAACTTAGCGAGGTCTGCTTTGACTCTTGTTGCAAAATATTGACCTTGCTTTAAATCAATGACTTTAACCGGACTGTTGGTAATTGTATCGGTGTTTAAACCCTTTCACGTTCCTTAACACAATGATGATTTTAAAAGTATTCGAGTAGTATATATATATATATA